TCAGGTGGTAATTTTTTTAAAAAAGAAAACATTGTAAGAAGATATAGAGAGACAGAGACAAAGGAACTTCTGTTTTGTTTTGAGTGGCCAGGGAAGTCCTCTCTGAGGAAGGGCATTGAATGGGATGAAGTAAGGAAGTGAGCTGTGTATCTGTAACGGAGAAGACCATCCCAGACAGGGGATGGCAAGTAGACTCTGAAGAGGAAGGTTGTCTACATATATATTAGAATAAAAATTTCATACAACAAAACTATCTAACTGAAACAATTTATATCATATATACATTGAGGAACATGAAGCTAATAGTATCATTAACTAACTTACAATTAAATAAGTTTACCATCATCTAGGTAAATCCTACAAAATTCATGTTTTATTAATTGTTTCTCTCCCACTTCCCCACCCTCCTTCACCTGCCCCCTTCTCATTTCAGTGAAGTTGGAGCGTTTTGAAATTCCCATTAAGGTTTGCTTGAGCCCAGAACCATGGACCCCTGAAACTGGTTTGGTCACTGATGCTTTCAAACTGAAAAGGAAGGAACTGAAGAACCATTACCTCAAAGACATTGAGAGAATGTATGGGGGCAAATAAAATGCTGTTCTCTTTACAATTGTGCAGTAGGTGGCCTGGTGGTTTTTCAAACTTTTAAGCCTTTTTAAACTGTCTGTTAGAATGTGAAGTATATAATTTTAAAGACATGATAACAAAAAATTTTAAAAAGTGATTAAAATAATTGTTGAATCAACTTTAACTTAGTTTTACATAGTTGTAGTGAAGCTGAAATTGAAAAATTGCTTCCTTTTAGCTGTGTTACTAATTTTAGAGTAAATATTCTGTTTTTAAAAATTATCCTAAGATACTTGTTTTTATGAGAAAATTATTTAATGTTGAACAAAATTAATTGGAGTTGTAGTAGAATATAGTTTGATGAAATTTGCAGCTTCCAATGCCTATTATCTTCCTAGTTCAGAGGAAGCTTAAAATATTAAGCACGACAAAAAATATGTATTAACACTACTCAAAACAGAAGTACTACAGGCCTTTTAAATTCTCTTCCAACCATTTGTCCTGAAGGGGAAATTAAATCATAATATAACATAGAGAATCAACACCGGGCAAAACATTTTAGGATTCATAATTGTTGCATAGGTTAGAATATAATTATTATGTATTGTGAATAATTACAGTGCCTGAATTAAGAATAAAACAACATAAACTCACCAAAAATATCTAGTAATATATTTAAAGGGACTGTGTTTTTTTTTTTAACTTGGAGGTCTAAAATCAGTAACTGTAATTATTTAATGACTAAAGATTACTTAAGTACATTTGAAAAAATGGTGAAAAATTATCTTTCTCTGTTCAAAATAGAACACTGAGACTAAGAGTAAAATGATAGGAAGTTATTCAAATTTTAATAGGAAGCATTTTCTCTGTCAGAAAAGATGAAATCATAAGTGTTTATGGAGTTATCACCCTTGCACAGCACTAAACCTGGGAAAGGATTTAGACTCTGAATTTATCTTTGATAACAGGGACTGATTTTAAAATGTGCTCATATTAAATTACATATGTAATTTAAGGTGTGTTTGCAGTTCTGATTGTATTCTTGAGCAATAGTTTGTATTTCGAAAGCCTTTCATTTTGCTTTAATTTTAGCAAAGCGGGTTATGACTTCCCCAATATCTTGTTTGAATGTATGAATGATTAATTAACTTGGATGAGTTTGGGGAAGTTAAAGGGAAGAACACACTGTTACTACTTTTTTCCTGTTTGTGAGAAGAGTTTAGAAACTGGAAAATGCTGGATTCGGGAGAAGGGAAGTTACTCAATAAGGAGCTGATATTTATACAGTAACTTGGCATGTGGGCTTCTTTTTGAATCTTTAATTAAAATCAGGGATTATGTGTCCCTGATAGATATTCACTCTTGAACCCTTGAACCATAGTTACTATAAACAGCAAAAATTCTTAATACTGTTACTCTTTGCACTTTTTTCTTATCCATTTCATATATAGCTTATATTGCTTTGTACAGATGTGGGCCACCACTGCAACAAAATACATTCTTTTTGCTCTAAAATATTTATAAGGAGACTATTTAAGTGTTATGTATATGGTGGTAAAAAGGAAAAAAATCATCTGATGTTATTATTAGCAAGAAGGTTTTTGTAAAGATTTCTGTTCAGTGTTCTGCAGTGTAAAATTCAAGGCAAGTTCTCCCTGCAGTTATGTATATGTGAGTATTCTCATTCTTTCAAACTTGCCTTTGAGGAGTAATGAACCATTATTACCAAGTAGACTACTATTCAGCTTCTACTGTTCCTGACCCACTGTTGATTCTTTAGAGATGATTTCCTTAGACATTTTCAATATGTGACTTTTCCCCGAATTCGGAATGGTGATTTTAAATGTGCAAGTGCATGCATATTCAAATATTTGCACCCACACACACTTCCATCTCCCAAAAGCTAGACCACTGCCAACTAATCTGTTATGTAGGTCCTTTAGAAATACGTAATTAACACTTAGGTTGGGTGCTGCTAATTCTTTGCGAAAATCCAAATATTGTTAAGGGACCAGGGAGATGCCATTACCCCCTGATTTTTCACTAGGAAATATACATATTTATGTAAACAAATCTTTCCATATTCATAGTGACTTTTTAAGTAGTTGAGCCTAAAGATTTTGATCCTACATTTCTATACATGTTTAAATCATTTGCTATTATTACATGTTAGCCATTCAAATAAAGTGTACTTTAAAAATATACTACAGTTAATGTACATTTCTAAGTAAAACACTTGTGACCTTTGCTTTAATTTAATGAAAGTGTCTTGCCTCCTTGATATTTGTATTGATTTGTTTTTTTCTAGAGTGGAGATATAATTGTATGGCTTTTCAGAACAGAGACACAGGTGAATGATTTAAAAAGTCAGAAGTTAAGGAAAGTAATGTTTCTTTGGTCATAAAGACTGATTAAAAATCCTCATCTATATTTTCTTGATAGCATAGGACAAATGTTTTGAGGTTAGATGAAAACAGGTTAAGACTGTGTGGTATTTGGGATTTGGCGAGAAATATTTTAATTTTCAAATGTAGTTACAAATTAGAATGTACTCATATTTGTACTTTTTGTTTAAATGCACGATTGCAGGATTGTTACTTGGATTTTTGTGTTTATTCTTGATGAAAGCTGTTCTTGTTTTTAAGTTTGTACTCGAATCTCAAGAAATAAATTCACCCATGTTATCAAGTTAATTTGTGCTTAATTTTACACCAAGGTAAAATCTGCAAGTTTTAAGAATATTAGCCAAACTTTTATTTATTTATTTATTTATTTATTTACTTATTTATTTATTTATTATTTTTTTTAATCAATCTTTATTGTTCATATTGTTACAAAGTTTCCTCATTTCTTCCCCCCTCCACCAGGTTCCCACCCCACCTTCTACCCCCTCCCCATCCCCCATTGTCCTCATCCATAGGTGCAGTTTATGTTCAGTCTCTTCCTCCCTCCCTTCCCCTGATAGTAAATCCCTTTTCAGATAGTAAATCAGTTACTTAGCATTTTCTCATATCAATAATATCACCACATGCCCAATGATACATTTCACACAAAAGACATTTCCAAATAGGTCAACCAGCCTCATCCAGGCCCCACCCAAGGCACTCACAGATCAACACAGATCAACACCCCGGCCCTATACTAACTCAACACATCCAGATCTAAGCCTTCATCACTTGATTCAGCAGACCCTCAAGTTCCCACAAAAGTTTCCAGCCATGTCTGAGAGGCAGCCATGGGGCAGGGGCAGGCGAGGAGCGAGCTGTTCCGGGCATGGCTGCTCCGGGCCTGGGCTCTGTTGCTCTGGTTCGTTCCACAACCAGCTGCTCTGGGTCTGGTCACCGCCGCTCCCGACCTAGTTGCTCTGGACCTGGCTGCTGCTGCTCCGGGCCTGGCCGTACCAGACCCGGCCGCTCCGGGCCTGGCCGCTCCCAGCCTGGCAGCCACTGCTCTGGGCCTGGCCGCACCCGACCCGGCTGCTCCGGGCCTGGCCGCTCCCAGCCTGGCAGCCGCTGCTCCGGGCCTGGCCGCTCCCAGCCTGGCAGCCACTGCTCCGGGCCTGGCCGCACCAGACCTGGCTGCTCCGGGCCTGGCTGCTCCCAGCCTGGCAACCGCTGCTTTGGGCCTGGCCGCACCAGACCTGGCTGCTCCGGGCCTGGCCGCTCCCAGCCTGGCAGCTGCTGCTCCGGGCTTGGCCGCACCAGACCTGGCTGCTCCGGACCTAGCCACTCCCAGCCTGGCAGCCGCTGCTCCAGGCCTGGCCGCACCCGACCCGGCTGCTCCGGGCCTGGCCGCTCCCAGCCTGGCAGCCGCTGCTCCGGGCCTGGCCGCACCAGACCTGGCTGCTCCGGGCCTGGCTGCTCCCAGCCTGGCAGCCGCTGCTCTGGGCCTGGCTGCTCCCAGCCTGGCAGCTGCTGCTCCAGGCCTGGCCGCTCCCAGCCTGGCAGCTGCTGCCCCGGGCTTGGCCGCACCAGACCCGGCTGCTCCGGACTTGGCCGCTCCCAGCCTGGCAGCTGCTGCTCCAGGCCTGGCCGCACCCGACCCGGCTGCTCCGGGCCTGGCCGCTCCCAGCCTGGCAGCCGCTGCTCCGGGCCTGGCTGCTCCCAGCCTGGCAACCGCTGCTCCGGGCCTGGCCGCACCAGACCTGGCTGCTCCGGGCCTGGCCGGCCACTCCCAGCCTGGCAGCTGCTGCTCTGGGCCTGGCCACACCAGACCCGGCTGCTCCGGGCCTGGCCGCTCCCAGCCTGGCAGCCGCTGCTCCGGGCCTGGCCGCTCCCAGCCTGGCAGCCGCTGCTCCGGGCCTGGCCGCTCCCAGCCTGGCAACCGCTGCTTCGGGCCTGGCCGCACCAGACCCAGCTGCTCCGGGCCTGGCCGCTCCCAGCCTGGCAGCTGCTGCTCCGGGCCTGGCTGCACCCGACGCAGGCCTGTATTGGCCAAACTTTTAAATACATATATTTAAAGTACTCATCTTTAAGTTTATGGAATTGTATTGAGCAGTCAACCTGGTTTGTATAAGATCCACACATACTCCAGTTTGTAGTATTTGAACCCAAAGCTGTTACTTTGAAGCAGTAGAACCCTTTAACACATATTGTGAGACAAAACATAGTGATGTTGTGTGAATTATTAGTAGGTGCTAATAAATGATAACTTATATTTAGTCTAAAATTTATGGAGAAATTAATTTATCTGATTATATTATGAGTTTTTTATAAAAAAGTGTTAGCGCTCAGGAACCAGACTTCCTCAGTCTATTTCCTAGCTTTGCCATTCACTAGCTTTGTGACTTTGGTTGGGCAACTGACTTACATTCCTCAGCTGCATTTCTTCATCTAGAAAAGTGGGGATGACTGGTAATATATAGGATCTAGCTCATAGGGTGGTTGTTAGGTAACATGAGTCAACTCATATAAAGTGTTTAAAGCATAGTAAACTTATGTTGACTATCACCATTATCATCATTATTGTATTTAGACAGTATTCATCAGTTACGTTGTTTAATGTATTGCTAGCATACTCAGGGCCTTAAGGGATTAATTGCCTCTTGCTGAAGACTTTGTAGAAAGAGTTCTGGTTTCAGAGGTAGGAGACCTGGGCTCATTCTTTCACTAGCTTTGCAACCATGGACAAATCTCATAACACCCTCTCACTCCCTTAACCTTAGTTTCTTCTTCTCTTTTATTTAAAAAAAAAAAAGACTGGACTTCAAAAAAAATATTTTTTTTTTTGGCAAAAAGGGAAAGTTGAATGACAGAAGATGTAAGGAATGTAATAGTCTATGAAGTCCATCACAACTAGCTTTTTTATGTTTTTTTAAAATTATTCATTGTTTAAAGTATTACATATAGTAAATATTACATATGTCTCCTTTGCCCCCTTGACCTCTCCCTGGCCACCTGCACTCCCCAGCACATACCCTCACCTCCTTAGTGTCAGTGTCCATTGGTTATGTTTATATGCATGCATATAAGTCCTTTGGTTGATCTCTTATCTGCCCCCCTCCCCTACCTTCCCACTGAAATTCCATGGTCTGTTCGATGCTTCTCTGTCTCTGGATCTATTTTTGTTCATCAGTTTATGTTGTTCACTATATTACACAAATGAGTGAGATCATGTGGTATTTATCTTTCTCCAACTGGCTGATTTCGCTTAGCATAATGCTTTCTAGGTCCATCCATGCTTATGCTAATGGTAAAAATTATTTTTTACAGAAGAGTAGTATTCCATTGTGTAGATGTGCCACAGGTTTATTTTTAATATATATTTTTATTGATTTTTTACAGAGAGGAAGGTAGAGGGATAGAGAGCTAGAAACATCAATGATAGAGAGACACTGATCAGCTGCCTCCTGCACACCCCCATTGGGGACGTGCCCACAACCAAGGCACATGCCTTGACCAGAATCGAACATGAGACCCTTTAGTCCACTCTATCCACTGAGCCAAACCGGTTTCGGCAATGTGCCACAGTTTTTTAATCCATTTATCTGCATAGGCACTTGGTTGTTTCCAAATCTTAGCTATTGAAAATTGTGCTGCATGCACATAGGGGTCTGTATAACCTTTCTGATTGGTGTTTCTGATTTCTTGGGACATGTTCCCCACAAATAGCTTTTGTGTAATTTTGCTGTCCCTATATTTTGTTTGTTCTCTTGTTTTTTTAAATGATGCTGCAGATCTCAAGTTTCCTGTAGGGATATGAGGCTATGAATATTGCCATCACAAGAAGTGGGGAATCTAATAATATAAGGAGTCTCTGTAATTCTTATGTTCTCTCTTAAAAAAAAACAAAAACAAAAAAAACAACAGGGTTCTGTACAGATCATTGAAAGCAGTTCTTTCAAACTTTTTTACTGTGATTCACATTGCTGTGCACAAATGCTTATATGTATATCAAATGATATAACAATGTATATCAAATGATATAACAATGTTTATGTGAAAAAAACAATGTGATGCTCACTGACTTACTTTGTTTAAGTGCTGATCATGATCCAAATTGGTTCAAAGCCCCACAAAATAATGCTATCAAATAGAACTTTCTGTGAAGATGGAACTCTTCTGTGTCTGAGCTATTCATCACAGTAACTACTAGCCACATGTAGCTATTGAGCATTTGAAATATTAATGTGACTGAGGAACTGAATTTTAAATTTCATTCCATGTTGAATAGCACAGCTCTACAGACTTTGTAAGACACGGTTTGGAAAGGTTAGGTTAAAATAAGCTACTCTACAAAGTTTATTAAAGAAAGCTATCCCCTGGTCTCATTTTTTTAAAATTACTTTACCTCAGAAGCAACCACTTTAAACTTTTAGTGGATTATTTGGATATTTATTGTCTTGTATCTAAATAATGTGGTGGTTGTGTTGCTGCTTCTCAACTTTGTCATGATTTATTGACCTCTTACTATACTGAAGAACACTTCCTATTCTCCCAATATATATGTGTACTTGGGTAAATAAGTGTTTAAATGATAATTATGCTACACAGAGCTGAAACGTGTAGTAGGAAAATGGATTAACTTTATTTTTCTGTACTTATTTAATACTCACTCTTTCATTTGCTTTGCTTTCTATGTACTTGTCACTGATAATTCAACCTCAAACTCTCCACCAATTGTTCTCTCTCAAGATATGCAGATAATAAGAATTCTAACAATTTCATTTTATGGAAGAAATCTGTCCTAGAACCATCTGACCTACATCAATCTAGATCATTCATCCTCCTTTATCTGGTATGGGGCCATTTCTTAGGATCTACCTTCATCTTCATCCTAAGAGTTCTCTTCACCTTTATCTTGTGTTGGACCTCTTATTTCAGGTATCCCATATATTTTTCTTACTTGTATTATTTCCTCTTTGATGCAGTACATCTTGTAGTAGCTTACTGAAAATGGATATATGGAAGTTGCATTTCAGACCTTAATTGATAATTTGGTTGGATGTACAATTCTAGATTGAAAGTGTTCCCTCCATTGACATTAAACTACCAGGGTTAATTTTGGCAATTCGAAGCCTTTCCAATTTCTCCCATCCCTTCTATGTGACTTGTTTTCCCCTGTAGAAGCTCATAAAATTTCTGTGCTCTAAAATCTCAAGATCATGTGTTTTGGTGTGGGTATGTTTCCATTCATTGTACTAGGCCAGTGGTTAGCAAACTCAACAAAGCCAAATATCAACAGTACAAAGATTGAAATTTCTTTTGAGAGCCAAATTTTTTAAACTGAAACTTCTTCTAACGCCAATTCTTCAAAATAGACTTGCCTAGGCCATGGCATTTTGTGGAAGAGCCATACTCAAGGGGCTAAAGAGCCACATGTGGCTCACAAGATGCAGTTTGCCAACCACGGTACTAGGCCATTTCAGTCCATAAACTCACATGTACACCTGTTCTGATAAGTTTTCTTAAATTTAGTTGATTTTCCCCCTCTATTTTCTCTCTCTTTTGGACTTCTGATGTACAAATGATGAGTCACCTGGGTAGATCCTTAATTGTTTTTATGTTTTTGTTCCTACTTTTCATCTTTAAAAAATTATTTCTGGGAGATTTCATCTACTGGATATTTTAGCTCTTTTTAATTTTTCATTTCTGCTATCATGTTTATAATTTTTAAGAGCTGTGATTTGTTGTTCTAAATATTCTTTTCTCAATTCTTGCTTCATGGTATCTTTAAAAACTTTTTTCCCCTTTACTATGCAGAGCAAATTTATTCTAATTTAGCTTTTTTTCTTTATTACTTTTTTTTCTCTGTTCTATGAAAGTAATTGATAATCCTTGCCTGCTTGTTTATTAGAAGAAAGTACTGGAAAGCTAACTGGAAGGTCTAAGTGTGTGTGGAGCTGTTAAGAACTTTACAGTGTAAGGTGATTTTGTCTGAGCCATTTTGCAAATCCCACATCAGTATCTTTAGAATTTCTCTCTAGGGCTGATTGGATTCTCCTGTGAGAAGTTTCTTCCAATCTCTTGTATGGAGGGTGGATTTTGAACTACCAGTATTCTGGGGAATCATATGCCAAATAAAAAAAGGCTGGGGAGCGAGTTGCTTCTGTATTCATCATGCCTACAATTGCTTCATTGCCATGTTTTCTGTCCTGTTGCCAATGTCCCCTCAATTTTCCTTCAATTTTCTGCTGGGGTGAGAAATGGGCAGTATGATTGAGGGAAGTTGTTGATGGATCTGTATTTTTTTTAAATAGCTGCTTCAGTCTTCACCCCGCTATAACAGAATACTATACATGGTATGGCTTAAACATCATTTATCTCTCACAGTTCTGGAAGCACTAAGTCTGAAACAAGGGTGTTAGTATTGTCAGATTCTTGGTGGGAGCCCCTTCCTAGTTTACAGATAGACAATCTCTTGCTGTATATCACAGCAAAGAGCAAAGAGAGCAAAGTCTTGTGTCTCTTATAAGGGCACTAACCTCATCACCTCCCAAAGACCCCATTTTCTAATCACATTGGGAATTAAAACTTCAACCTAAGGCCAGCATGGCTCATTGGTTGAGCATCAGTCTATGAACCAGGAGGTCAGAGTTTGATTCCTGGTCAGGGCCCATGCCTGGGTTGCATGCTCGATCCCAAGTGTGGGATGTGCAGGAGGCAGCTGTTTAATGATTCTCCCTCATCATTGATGTTTCTATCCTTTTCCTTTCCTTTCCAAAATCAACAAAAACATTTTAAAATAAACTTCAACATACTAATATTGGGGTGATGCAAACAGCCCAAAACATTAGCTTTCAATCAGTCTTTTCTCTCGCTTTAGCCCCTTTGCTTCCACTTGTAGAAGTACCTGGTCCTGGCATTTTCAGAGCCCTTTAGACATTACACGCAATATAAATGTTTCTCTTTTTTCTCACTGCCCATTTAGGATTGTATAAAGATTTGACTTTACACCAGTATCTGGCTTCCAAAAATTATTACTGTTTTCATTTCTATTTCTTCTGTCCTTGTGGGTTTACACCTTTTAAAAAATTACTTAGTATAGTTTTAGTGAGTTTTCTTTCGTCTGGAGCTCTTTTATTTTTTTACCCAGGAGGTTTCTTTTTAAAAAATATTTTTATTGACTTCAGAGCAGAAGAGAGAGGAAGAGAGATAGAAACATCAATGATGTGAGAGAATTATTGATCAGCTGCCTTCTGCATATCCCTCACTCAGGATTGAGCCTGCAACCAGGGCATGTGCCCTGATCAGGAATAGAACTGTGATCTCCTGGTTCATAGGTTGATGCTCAACCACTGAGCCATGCTGATCGGCCCCCCAAGGTTTCTTTATTATATATTATGAAGTGTGTATCTAAAATATTATATTAAGAGGTGCTTAGCTACTCATTAAAATAGATGAACTTAAAAAAAACCAAACACCTGACAATATTAAGTGATGGTGACAATGTGGAATAAAGCATGTAAATTCTCATACATTACTGGAGAGTGTGGAAATTGATACAGCCATTTTTTGAAACCTGTCTCACTATTATTAATAAAAAATTAAATTTACATTTAATCAGTGACCTAGCCATCCCACTTCATTTAATTAAATATTAAATGAAACTATGCTATTCAAGGACCTGCTGTTCTTCTGCCACATATAAGAATTGTAGCAGCACTACTAATACTGATCCAAATTAGAAACAACTAAAACAGCCATAGAAGAAGTTGTGTTATATCCACAAGAAGAAATACTGCTACAAAGCAAATAAAAAATTAACTCTAGCTACATGCAAAAACATGGGTAAATTTCACAGATAATTATGTCATATAAAATAAGCTAGTCACAAGAGTACATTATGATTCCATGTATATGAAGTTCAAGAACAGACAAGATATCTATGGTGATAGAATGCAGAAAACAGTTTTATTTGAAGAGACTGGTGTTATTGCCTGGAGTGGGATATGCAGGAACCTTCTGGCATGCTGGAAATGCTCTATATCTTATATATAACAGCATCCTGGGTAGGGTCAGATATGTCTGGCCTGGACAAATAAGATGGATGCTATAGAGGAGAAACTGAAAAATGGGGGTATTTGGGTGTGTTGAAGGAGAAGAAGATGAAACAATTAGGTTTATCATTCTGTCTAGCATATGCTAATCCTCTAACCACTCTTTAGAATAGGGGTGTCGAACTCAATCAGAGAAGGGGCCAAAATCTAAAATCCAGCCTAAATCGCGGGCCGAATGGTTTACTGAACAGTCATAAACTGACAATGTTAACCAGAAATGTGAATTTAAAATGAGTGGAACAATCTTTTCCTTAACAGTGCTGTTAACCAACTCACATGCTATCAAGCAAAACAGTAATATTGGTATCAAGCAAAACAGTAATATTGGAATGTACCTAAAATGCTCATTGTTTTGTTTTCTGGCTAGATGTCTGACACCGTTTTCCCCGGATCAATGAGTCAATGTTCGGTTTTATTTCTTGGGCTGTAGCAACCTGCAAAACAGCATGGAGGTTGTCATCGGTAATGCGTGATCTGTGCTTGTTTTTGTTCAGATTCATTATTGAAAACATCTGTTCACAAAGATAGGTTCTCCCGAACATGGATAGAATACGGGCAGCATGAAGTCGGAGCTCTGGCATTGAGTCAGGGGGCAGTAGAGGGTAGAAGTCCTCAATTTCAACATCCTGAAACCTTGATTTCAGGCCACTGTCAGACTGAAGCCCGATTATCTCCATCTGAAGGTGATGGGGCACATTGTTGACATCAACTGTAAAAGGATTGGCAAAGATGTCAAAGCCTGAGTGCTGTGTTCTAAAGTCAGAGAAGCGCCGCTCAAATTCACTTAGTAAACGGCTAACTTTGGTAGCCAGCCAACTGCAAGGAAAAGTACCAGAAATAGTGGTTGAGATACTCAAACAAACGGGAAAGTGGGCAAGATTGTCCTGTTCCAGTTGGGACTTCCATAGTTGAAGTTTACGCTGGAATGCTGTGATCATGTCAGACATCTTTGTGATGACTTGTTTGCGTCCCTGCAGCTTCAGATTCAGTTGGGCGAGATGCTCGCATATGTCACACATCATAGCAAAATCACATAGCCAGGGGGGATCCGACAGTTCAGGCAAGGGCTTTCCTTTACTTTCCATGAAAAGAGCAATTTGTTCTCTGAGCTCAAAAAATCTTTTGAGGACCGCGCTCTTGCTCAGCCATCTTACTTCTGTGTGGTATGGCACGTCTCCATGCTCTGCACCCACCTCCTGTAAAAACTACTGGAACTGGCGATGATTCAGGCCACGTGCCCGTATAAAGTTAATAGTTTTAATGACTGTGGTCATTATGTCATTCATGTCCAGAACTTTTCCACACATAGCCTCTTGGTGGATAATGCAATGATAAGTAATCAAGGGTGTGTGGCAGTGACTTTTTTGCATTCTTTCCTTCATTAGTCCAACCAAGCCTTTCTTTTCTCTGCACATTGAAGGTGCGCCATCGGTAGTTAGCCCCACCAACTTTTCCCAGGGTAATTTAAAATTATTTATAGATTTCTCCACAGCCTCAAATATATCTCTACCAGTCGTCGTCCCATGCATGGCACCTACATCCAAAAGTTCCTCAGTGACAGAGAGGTCGGTCTTCGTAGCACGTATAAAGATGGACAGCTGCGCTGTATCAGTGCTGTCTGTGCTTTCATCCATAGCAAGTGAAAAAGCGAGATAACTGCATGCCTGTTCGGCCAGCTGTAATGATAGATTTCCTGAGAGTTCTTGAACTCTATCTGCAATGGTGTTTCTTGACAAACTGACATTTTGAAAACTCTGTATCTGGTCTGGGCATACTTGCTCACACACTTTTAGCATGCATTGCTTCAAAAAGGCACCCTCTGAAAAACACCTTGAAGTACGGGCAATTTCTTCAGCCACTATAAAGCTTGCTTTCACTGCAGCATCATTTTTCGCTGTAGCCTTTGTAAACATTTGCTGCTGTGATTGTAGTTTGCCTTTTAGTTCTTTAAAAATTTTATGCTTTTCTTCCAAAGTATATTTGCCATACTTAACATTATGTTTGGTGTCAAAATGATGATGTATATTGTACTCTTTCATCACCAACACTGTCTCATAACACAATATACACACTGGTTTGCCCTCTCTAAGCACAAACATGTATTCATTTTCCCATTTGTCATTAAATTGTCTGCCTTCACCATCAACTTTTCTTTTCCTGGACATTTTGGGATCAATATTGGCAGTAAAAGATGTAGTTTATTGGAAATCTGCGTTAGAAGGAAAAAGTTGAAAACTGCACAGGGATAGCTTGATTTGGCAGATGGAGTGGAGAAAAAAAAAGTCAGTCAATAAATGCCTGGCTGGGTACAGATAGCAGATTCTGTTGCGATTTTTATGCCTGCACTTTATGCCAGGAACTGGCAGCTTCTGCTGTGTATTTTTTATGCCCGCACACTCACTCTGTCCTCTGCTCTGCCACCCGCACAACCACATCGGATGCTGGACTATAGGTCACGCCTCCTGAATCTCGCGTGACTTGTTATCTATGCGCATGCGTAATAGATAGCAAGTACGGCGGCCGGCGAGGCGGCCAGCGAGATCACAAGCCTCCTATGTCACCACGTGTCATTGTGATGGAACGCAGCGGAGTGCAGTGATGACAGCACGGTGTGGGCCACATTGCAAGGCCTGGTGGGCTGGATTTGGCCCGCGGGCCTTGTGCTTGACATGTGTGCTTTAGAACAAGTGTGTTTACATGTTCAGAAGAGCCTTAAAGATCATCTAATGGGGAGCATCTTTGTGGGTCTGACTAGAGGAAGCACATGTAGGTGGCTATGAAATAAGAGGTCCAGAAAACTTGTTTGAACTTAAAATACCTGAATGTAGATCAGTATATTTCAATGTTTACACGCATTTGTAGTCTCATTTGGGCTTAGTTTTTGAGACATGACATCTCGATGTACCAAAAAGTCATCTCTTACTCTCCCCTCTATTACCACCCTAGATTAGAACCTAACCCCTTTTTACCAAGAACTATACCAACCTCCCAACTAGTTTCTTGGCAAGTATTTTTTTCCATCCCCACCCGTATATTCCATCTTGTATATAAACCTGCCAAACTTACCTTCCTAATATAACACCTTGTTGATACTATTTGTATTCTAATCAATATGTTAGTTTGGTATTCAAGTTCCAGAATCAAAAGAGCTTTCTACTTACCTCATCTCTCTATCAGGAACCTTCCATTCTATTTCATTTCTGCATTCTCCAGTATGCCAAGTTCATTCTCCCAAGTGGTTCTTCACCCTGGCTGCCTTTAGGAATCATGTAGGAAGATTAGCATCAACAACAAAAACCAAAACAAGCTGAAACCTGCTTGGCTCAGTGGATAGAGCGTCTGTCTGCACACTGAAGGGCCCCAGGTTCGATTCTGGTCAAGGGCATGTGCATTGGTTGTGAGCACATCCCCAGTGGGGGGTGTGCAGGAGGTGGCTGGTCCATGTTTCTCATTGATGTTTCTAGCTCGCTATCCCTCTCCCTTCCTCTCTGTAAAAAATCAATAAAATATACTTAAAATACGCACACACACACACACACACACACACACACACACACAAAACAAATGAAAACCAATACTCATGTCTCATTCTCTCTCACTGGCCAACAATGGCTTCCCTGCTCCATCTGTAAATTTCTTTATAAGCACCTCTCTTCAGGATTAAATCATAAGATAATTCCAGAAGAAAAGACAGTCTTCACAGATTATCAGGGAAGGCTTCTAGTTAACTGTTGGCTCCCTAAAATTACTGTTAGCATAGAATCAAATTTTCTTTTGCTTTGGTAGATAAGCTATTTCCATCAACACTTGAAAACCTTACAGAATCTGAAAAAAAGTATAGATCCAGGACATTTCTTGAAAGACACTACAAGTATCAGAAATGGGCACTGCTTCCTATGATGGGTCACTTGGAAGTGATAAATATCAACTTTACCTAATTTGTGTTTTTGTCTTGGGGCAGTAAAAAATCAAAGGAAAAGGAAAAAGAAGGCAGAATGTATTGATTCACTTACTTGTCTCTCCATAGTGACTTTTGCAGCAGAAATCTGAAAACAATTATTTTGAAGTCAGATATTTGTTCCTGTGCCTAGCTCTTTTCTAGCCCGTATGTTATAAGAAGATCGGAATCAGATATACATATACATGCATATATATTACAGGCATGTCCACATATATTTTCTTTTTTAAGTCCTCATCAGAGGATATTTTCCCATTGATTTTTAGAGAGAGTGGAAGAGAGTGGGGAAGACAGAAATATCGACATGAGAGAAACACATCAATTGGTTGCCTCCTGCATTTTCCCCGACCAGGGCCCCAGGAGAAGCCTGCAACCAAGGTATGTACCCCTGACCAGAATAAAACCTGGGACTTTTTAGTCCGCAGGCTGACACTCTATCCACTGAGCCAAAGCAGCTAGGGCTATTTTCTTTTTTATGGCCATTAGATCTACCTTAGCTTCATTTTCAACATTCCTTAGAATAGGGCATTCCAATGGCCACGTTCAATTTGGGATGGTGAATAGCACACATTCAAATAGGAAAGTAGTAATATAGCTCCCCAAGACAGGGCCAGAGGAAACTCGGGACATCTTCCTACCCAGATGGTGACTAAAGTATGAACTATCTCGGGGAGAAATGCAGAGAAATGAGTTAAAATCTGTTAGATTTGATCCCCAGGTTTATCTAAGGCACATCATTTTAAATCCAAATCTGCATTTCATTGGCCATCAAGATTCATGATGGTGAAAGAATTATAACCTTTCTAAGTGAATTCAAGTGAAGGGAAGGATACAGAGTCTTCTGTTTCATTTCATCTGGAGTCTTTGTTATCTCTGCAAGAGGCCCCTTGGGTTCTCTTTGCCAGTGAATTCTTCCCTTTTGCTTATGTTATAAGCAATAGCTCTCTCTACCCCATTTTTTAGTGTTGTAGGGTATCTTGGTGGGCCTTCAGTTTTGCGCAGAGAAGAAAAACTCCAAACTGACCTGGAGCTGTGAGGATTCTGCATCCTGTCTCCAGGAGGAAGGCTGTATAATTTCATTCTCTTATAATGTTTGACTTTCTTTTTTAAATGTTATTAAAGGTGGATTTTGCACTGGGCTTTTTTTTTTCTACAGTAAATCCATTTCTGTTTTAAGGTCCTCACATGTTCCAATAAGGTTTTATTTTTTGTTTTACTTCTGGACTTTTTCTTGTTTAGTATTGCTAAGTGCAATAGGGGAGAAAAAAGAAAGGTCTTATATTGCTATCAGCACACAATATAATGAGTCCTCAATGTCATTGATTAGTTCTGTAACTTTAGATAAAAGGATGGATAAGGAAACCAATTTTATCATAGGCTCATTGATATAAATGAGTTCTACGGCATCTTATGAATGTTGTAATGAAAGGGCATCAAATGAAACAACATTGAACCAAATAACATTATTTGAGTATCTGCTGTATTAGAATAAGGGGGTAAATTAGAAGCTGAACTGTGAGCTGAAGACTTAAGTATGTGCAAATTTGGCAAAGACAGAGAGCTTTTCAGACTTCAGTTACCTGGGAAGGCTTCCTTGGAACCTCTAGTCTGAGCCTAATGCTGAAGAGGCAAGATAGACTCTTACCAATTTCTAGCAAATAACAATGTGTATGCACCTGCAGCAGTGTTCCTTCTGTGACCACCAGCCTGCAGACAAAATGGGGTGATGGCAACAGCAATATCATGGGCAATAGCTTGACATTCTAAATCAGAGAACTCTAGAGATTGAAAGTGTGCCTGAGATATTGATGTCTTCTGCCCTTGGGGTGGCCAAAATTCCCTGGAAGGGTACTTTCTTATTAATTTATTCCAAGAGGTCATATATATTTGTTATGTGGTAAAAAAAAAAAAAAAAGAAACTTTTTGGGAAGTGCTATTCTAGATATACCCCTCTTCTTTGAAAGCATTGGTGACACATGGACACAATGCTTTGTTTCCATGTCTGTAGTTCTAGACAGACTGTTAGTTTTCTGAAGGTAGATAGACAGTGTCTGACTGATACAGTACTATATCTCTAATGCTTGCCTCTGTACCTGATACATAGTACATTCACAGAAATTATGTCATGCAAATAACAACCTCAATGAGATATCACCCCATGCATGTAGAATGGCTATTATAAAAAAGACAACAGCCCTAGCCAGTTTGGCTCAGTGGATAGAGCACTGGCTCTTAGACTGATGGGTCTCAGGTTCGATTCCAGTCAAGGGCATATGCCTCAGTGCAGGTCAAGGGCATGAACCTTGATTGCAGGCTCCTGATCTTCGGCTCTGATGGGGGCGTGTGAAGGAGGCAACTAATTGATGTGTCTCTTTCACCTTGATGTTTTTCTCTCTGTGTTTCTCCCTCTTCCTTCCATTCTCTCTAAAAATGAATGGAAAATTATCCTCAGGTGAGGATTAACAAAACAAAAACAAAAAAAACGAAGAAAAAGAAATCCTTGTGCACTATTGGTGGGAATGTAAGTTGGTGCAACCACAATAGAAAACAGTATGGAGGAGCATCAAAAATTCAAAATAGAACTATCATATCACCCAGTAAATTTCACTTTTTTTTTTTCAAAAAAAGTGAAAACATAAATTTGAAAAGATATATGCACCTCCATGCCCATTGCACCATTATTTACAATGGTCAAGACACACACACACACACACACACACACACACACACACACACACACTCTGGAATATTATATTATTCAACCATAAAAGGGGAAATCTTGCCATTTGAAACAAAGTGGATGGATCTTATAGGCATTAGGCTAAGTTAAATACTAGTAAGTCATACACAGAAAGACAAATACAATATGATACACTTATATGTAAAATTTAAAAAAGAAAACGAGCTCATAGATACAGAGAACAGATTGGTTGCAAGGATGAGGAGTGGTGAAATGGGTGAAGAGGGTCAAAAAGTACAACTTTCCTGAAAAACTAATTTGAAAATAGTCATTGAAGCATTATTTACAATAGTCAAGACTTGAAAGTAACCCAAGTGTCCATCAGTAGATAATGAATGGATAAAAAGGCTGGAATACTTACACAATGGAATACTGCTCTGCCATAAAAAGGAAGAAAATATTACTTTTTGCAACAACATGGATGGACGTGGAGAACAATATGCTAAGTGAAAGAAGCTAGTCAGAGAAAGATAAGTACCATATGGTTTCACTCATATGTGGAATTTAATGAACAAGCTGAACTGCCAAGCAAAATAGACACAGACTCACAGATATAGAGCAGGCAGAAAGCTCTGGTAGTGATGGTGGGTGTTGGGGATGGAATGGAAGGATTAAGCAAAAAAGAAAGAGAACTCATGGCCATGGACATAAGTGTGGTGATTGTGGGGGTAGGGGCTGGTGGAGGTGGAAGAGGGCATAAAATGGATAAATGGTGATTGAAAAATAAAATAAAAAAAAGGAAAAGTACAACCTTCCAGTTATAAAATAAATAAGTCTTTCAGATGTAATGTAATGATGACTATGCTCAATAATACAATATTGCACATTTGGAAGTTGCTGAGAGTACACATTAAAAGTTTTCATTGCAGGGAGGAAAATGGTGATGGAATAGACAAATGTGTCCCAAGCCTTGTCCCAGAGCAGAAAGAAAGAACAGCTGAGTGTCACACTGGGAGTGTTTGTTGGCGAGTTGAGGGACAGCTGAACTCAGGAGAAGGTGAGGGACTGCTAGATGGGGTTCCCCTGACCAGACAGACCCCACTGCTCATGGGTCCCCTTCAGGAGCTGCAGGCTCAGAAGCAGAGACTGCAGCATCTTGAAAGGGAAAGTGGATCTTGTCGGAAACCTGAAAATCTACAACTGTGGAAACCACCAAACAGCTACCAGCCCCAGAATACCAGTTGCCAATCGATGCAAATGCACGAATTCAGGGGGGCTCTACATTCCACCACAGAAAGGAAAGAGAGAACTACATAACCAGATATCCAGAGAAGACAGCCTATGGGGAGACAAAGAAACAGCCTATGGGGAGATATGAAAGAAAAGAAGGCATCACCAGAAAAGGAAGTAAATGAAAGAGAGGCAAGCAACCTGTCAGAGAAAGAATTCAGAGAAATTGTCATAAGGTGGCTAAAAAGAATGGAAGACAAATTCGACAATATGTGAAGAACCAAGAGGAAATGAAGAACCAAGAAGAAATGAAAAATGAAATCACTGCTGTAAATAACACAAGAGAAAATATCAAGAATAGACTAGAAGAAGCAGAGGACCACATCAGTGAACTAGAAGATAAGGTGGGAAAAAATGCCCAAGTAGAGCAGCATCAATAAAAAAATTAAAAAGCAGGAGGAAAACCTGAGGGAGCTTTGGGACAACACAGAACAAAACATCCGCATAATAGGGCATACAGAAGGAGAGTAAACTGAGCAAGGAATATAAAACCTGATTGATGAAATAATGATAGAAAACTTCCCTGATATAGGGAAGAAAAACCCACACAAATCCAAGAAGCTCACACAATCCCAAGCAAAATAAACCCCAAAAGACCGACACCAAGGCACATCATAATTAAATTGGTGAATACCAATGACAAAGTAAGAATATTAAAAGTGGCCAGAGAGACACAAAGTTACATACAAAGGAACCCCCATCAGACTAGCAACTGATTTCTCAACAGAAACTCATCAGTCCAGAAGGGAATGGAATGCAATATACAAAGTCATGCAAAGTAAGAGTCTGAATTCAAGAATACTATACTCCAGTAAGGCTATCAATCAAAACTGAAGATATAATCAGGAGCTTCACAGACAAAAAAACTAAGGGAATTTATTACCACCAAACCAGCAATGCAAGAAATGCTAAAGGGTCTGCTGTAAAAAAACAAAAAGAAAAAGGAAATGAAGAAGGAACACAGGGGTAAAGAATGAAAATGGCAACAAATAAGAACCTATCAATAATAACTTTAAATGTAAATGAATTAAATGCCCCAATCAAATGACATAGGGTAATGGATTGGATTAAAAACAAACAAACAAACAAGCAAACAAAAAAACAAGACACATATATCTGCTGTTTATCAGAAATGCACCTCAGAAAAAAAGATGCACACAGACTGAGGGTAAAGGGATGGAAAAAGGTTTTCCAGGCAAATGGAAAAAAAAAAAAAAAAAAGCTGGGATAGCAGTACTTATATCTGACAAGTTAGATCTCAAAGTGAAGGACATAATAAGAGATAAGGAAGGCCACTACATAATACTAAAGGGAGCAATCCAACAAGAAGAAATAACATTGCTAAACATATATAGGAGAACCCAAATATATATATTTTTTAAAAAAACTCTCTGAGAATATATCAAGGTAGAGATTAACAGCAATACAATCATAGTAGGAGACTTTAATACCCCACTATCACCATTGAAAAAATCCTCTAAACAAAACAAAACAAAACAAAAACAGCAAAAAACATCTATCCTAAATGACTCACTAGAACAGAAGGAATTAATTGATAACTTCAGAACATTTCACCCCAAAGCCACAGACTATACATTCCTCTTAAATGCACATGGGTCATTTTCAAAGATAGACAATCTGTTGGCTCATAGGCAAAGTCTCTTCAAATTCAAGAAGATAGAAATCATATCAAGCATCATCTCAGATCACAGTGGCATAAAACTGGAAATCAACTACAATAAAAACAATCCAAAAAATCAAACACATGGAGACTAAACAGCATGCTATTAAACAATTACTGGGTTACCAGAGAGATGAAGTAAGAAATAAAAAACATTAGGGCAACAAATGACAATGAAAACAAAACAATCCAAAATCTATGAGACACAGCAAAAGCAGTCTTGAGAGGCAAGTTCATAGCTCTACAAGTCTACTGAAAAAATCAAGAAACAATGGTAATAAACTACCTAACCATCGAATTAGAAAGAGAGCAACAATAAAAGCCCAGTGTAAACAGAAGGAAGGAAATAATAAAGATCAGAGCAGAGATAAATTACACAGAGACCAAAGAAACAATACAAAAGATCAACAAAACCAAGAGTTGGTTCTTTGAAAGGATAAACAAGATTGATTAACATCTAGCCAGGATCACCAATAAGCAAAGAGAAAAGACCCAAATAAACAAAATCAGAAACGAAAGAGGTAAAATAACAACAGATCCCACCAAAATACAAATGATTATTAAAAATACTATGAGCAACTCTATTCCAACAAACTGGACAACCTGGAGGAAATGGACATATTTTTAGAAAAATATAATCTTCCAAAACTCAATCAAAAAGAATCTAAACAGCCCAATAGGCCAATTACTATGGAAGAAATTGAAGCAGTCATCAAAAAGCTTCCGGCAAACAAAAGCCCAGGGCCAGATGGCTTCACAGGGGAGTTTTACTAAACATTCACGGAAGACTAAAACCTATACTCCTCAGACATTCCAAAAAATTCAAGAGGAAGGAACACTTCCAAGCTCCTTCTATGAAGCCAACATCACCCTAATATCAAAACCAGATAAAGACAACACAAAGAAAGAATATTAGAGGTCAATATCCCTCATGAACAAAATGATGCCAAAATCCTCAATAAGATTCTAGCAAATCAGACCATACACCATGACCAAGTAGGATTTATCCCAGGAATGCAAGGATGATACAATATCCACAAATCAATAAATGTGACACATCACATAAACAAATTGAGAGATAAAAATCACATAGTAATATCAATTGATTCAGAAAAAGCATTTGACAAAATCCCAAACCTTTTCTTGATAAAAACGCTCAACATGGTGGGAATAGAAGGATCATACCTCAACATAATAAAAGCCGTATATGATAAACCCACAACTAACATCGTACTTAATGGGCAAAAACTAAAACCATTTCCCCTAAGAACAGGAACAAGACAGGGATGCCCACTCTCACCACTCTTGTTTGACATAGTACTGGAAGTATTAGCCATTACAATTAGATAAGGAGAAGAAATAAAAAGCATCCAAATCAGGAAAAAAGAAGTAAAGCTGTCCTTATTTGCAGATGACATGATATTGTACATAAAAACCCAAAAATACTCAATCAAAAAACAATTAGTAATAAATGAATTCAGCAATGTAGCTTGATATAAAATTAACGCCAAAAAGTTATGTCATTTCTATACACCTGTTTGGATGGCGATTTCCAATAATAAGAGAGCAACCTTTCTTGGCTTACCAGAAGTCTGTATCTATTGACTGAGATTTACTATACCGACCGAAATTTTGTCTTTCTGCTCTATCTCTCCCTTAGTGATTAAGAGGAACAAAGAGTATTATACATTCCTATTGACTGACCTCCCATTCAATGTTTGTTTATAAAAGGCATTACACAGTTAATAAAGCTGCTGAAGTCTGTCAATGGCTTGCAGCCCTCCCGATTCCCCTTTCTTGTATTTCTTTTCTTAATTCCCACCTCCCTAGTTCAGTCCGGTTCATCTGTCAGGCTGTCCCTGGCAGGAATATATCCTAAGAACTAGAAACACCAATCAGAAAGAATATATGCACCCCTATGTTCATAGCAGCACAATTTACAATAGTTGAAATTTGGAAACAGCCTAGGTGCCCATCAGCAGATGACTAGATCAGAAAACTATGGTACATCTACACAATGGAATACTATGCTGCCATAAGAAAGAAGGAATTCTTACCATTTGCAGCAACTTGGATGGAACTGAAGAACATTATGCTAAGTGAAATAAATCAGTCAATGAAAGAAAAATACCACATGATATCACTCATTTATAGATGATAAAAAACATTATAAACTGATGAACAAAAAGATAGATACAGAGGCAGTAAAGCATCAAACAGATTGTCAAATTACAGTGGGAAAATTAGGGAGAGATGGGGGAGATAAAAGATCAACCGAAGGACTTGGTTATAAGCATATAAGCATAACCAATGGACACAAAACACTGGAGGGTGAGAGCATGTATGGGAGTGGGTTGGGGGGCAATGGTAAGATATGTACACATATAATACCTTAATAAAAATTAAAAATAAAATAAAATAAAAGGTCTCATTGCAAGAAAAACATTTGTGACCATATATGACTGATGTTAATATAGTGATCATTTCAGAATGTATACAAGTACTGGTACCAAATCATAATTTTGTATACCTGAAACTAATATGATCTTATATGTCAATTACACTTGAATTTTTTTTAAAGAAAATATTTAGTGAATAAATAAATGAGAAAGTTTAGACCTTAAAGGATGAGTAAAATTTGAATAACATGGAAGGCTTATAGGTTTGCAGGGAAGAATATATTAATAGAGACAGATATGTGCCAAGCATAATTTGGAGAGCAATTGAGAAGCCCACAACTTTCATGGTGTTTTTTTTGTTTTTTTGTTTGTTTTTGTTTTTTACTATTTTTTTCAGTTACAGTAGTCATACAATATTATATTAATTTCAAATGTAAACCTTGGTGATTATATATCATTTAACTTTCTAAGTGTTCATACCATTAAATCTCATACCCATATGGCACCATACACAGTTAATATAATAGAATATTATTGACTGTTTTCACTATGCTATAGTTTACATCCCCATGACTATTCTGTAACTATCAAATGTACTTCTTAATCCCTTCACCTTTTTCACCCATCCTCCCATCTGGCCTTGAAAATATTCCCTGTACCTATGTCCATTATTTATTTCTGTTCTGCCTGTTCATTTATTAGTGGGAAATTAGCAGGTCCCATACTTCTTATCCTATCTAATAAAAGAGAAACTTGCAAATTGACTGTACCTCTCCTACACTCACCAGCCAATCAGGAGTGAGTATGCAAATTAACCCAACAAAGATGGAGGTTAATTTGCATATGAAGGAGCTGAGTGACCTGGGTCTCGGGAACATCCTCTGGACCCAGGCGGCTCCTAGCCTGCAGGCCCGAACTTAGGTCCTGAGCAGCAGGGGTCCCAGAACATGCCCCAGCCACTCTGGGACTGTGGGCACAGGCCCCAAGCTGCTTGTGTGTACACTGGCACTGAACAGTATTTCGGGTCCATGCCCCCCCAGCCCAGTGCCCATGACAGGGGTCTGGCTGCCGATTGGGCACCGGGCTGGGGGGCATTCGGGGACCTCAGGCAACCATGGCTACACGCAGCCCATGGGTCCCTGCATGGCTTCCAGCCTACCACCCAAGACTCGGGGCTGGCTGCTGGCCTCAGGAGCATGTCCTCTTATTCTCCACCCCCGGTGGCAGG